TGTAACATTCTTTATTTCAGTTGACTGTTGATTTATTCTCTGGATCATGTTGAAGATATACAGTTGTTGGTTATGGAATTTATTATCCCTTTTAATTTCAAACTAAATGTATATAATTTCAATTATAAATTTTATAAGACTGTACAATTTGTCATAGTTGTGATCGATAGGTACTTCTATTCCATAAACACATTAACCTGATGGCTAAAGTTAGCCATCTTGCTTGATTTAGAGACCTGATTTTCCAGACAGCAAATCTAGGATTCACTTCCCTTGAGAAATTCCTGCTGCATATTCTAAGAGTAGTCTATGGTCACCACTTAAATGTTACATTGCCCCTGTAAGGTATAAGTTATCTAGAGGGCTACTGATAGTGTTAAATTCTATCTGTGATAAATTCTGATAATCATTCCCACAAAGTTTCTCTAGAAGACCAGTAAAAGCTCTAAATGGAAGTTCATTTTGATAAAGTGAACAGCCAATGGTGTGCATTTTTAAGTTTGTTTTTTGTTTTTCTCTCCAGAGCTGTAACAAACCATGCCTTACAAACACTGGTTGTGCTGGTATTGTCCAAGAACTGTCTTAATGGAATTTAAACTGTTGAATTCTTCTAAAAACAGTAACATCCCCTTCTAGAACACCAGTTGCACCAATGATAGGGATAACTCTGTGGGTGAGATATCTACTCTACTTTCCCTGTCCATCTCTGGTGAAAATCAAGTGGCGTTCTGGTCCTATGTTTTTATATATATATATATATATATATATATATATATATATATATATATAGGTTGGTGCAAAAATAATGTCGCTTTTTGATGTTAAGTTGAATGTCAAAAACGACATTATTTATGCACCAACCTAATACTAGCAGTAGAGCCTGGCATTGTCCAGGGAAGTAACAGTAACAGATAAATCAAGTATCGACCATCATAAAGACTGAAAAATAAAATTGACAAAGATTATTGTTTAAGGTTGACAGACACTCATGTCTTAATTAGTTTTTTTTTTTTTTTTTTTTTTTTTTTTTTAAACGAATTGGTCAAACTCAAACAAAAAACATTGTTTCAATCGTTATGAGTCTACCGATTGGATAGAATTTTATTATAAACAATTGTCTTGTAAATGGAATTTTTAAAGCATTTTGAATGTAAAAATAAAGAAATAAGTGTGCAAGACAATAAGAAACACTACTTGCCAAAAAAAAAGTGAATTTTTGTTGAAATCAGTTGAAAAATGTAGGAAATCCGATCCCATATATAAATGAACAAACACACACAACCAACCAACCTGGGTTTTATAAGTATAACTCGATATGAGTTGTCACCCTTTCATTAATGCCTCTTAATCATGTTTTCAAATTGATTTCATGCAAAAACAATTGTGTTTTTCCAATTTTTGGTGCTGTCAGAACCACTGCCAGGTAATTTTATGTAGTCCTGTGAAGTTTTGTTGAAATCGGTTGAAAAATGTAGGAAATATGATCCCATATATAAACATACAAACACACACACAATCTGCGTTTTATAATAAGTAAGATATATAAATTCAGTTTTCATCTGTAATCTCTTTGTATTGCAAAGTGTCTTTAACTCTTCAATTAACACCAATGCAGATATTTTCATGGTTCTAATGGGTGGTTAATTTTAATCTTGCCCTTTCCCTTTCTATTTTTGATTGTTCCCTGGCTCAAAACTGTCATTGGTTGTTTCTTCACTGGAAGATATTGGTGTAAAAATACATGTTGAGGGAACATGTAGAATACTGTTATGATTCAATTTGCCTCTCTAATCTCTGCATTTTTTGATATTTTTTAACAGCATCTTTTTCAATAGTTACAAATTGGAAACTGTTTTTGGTCCTGTTTCTCTTTCTGAGCTTTTAAATATTCCTTTTCTTCAATGGGAACCTGAAATTTCAAAATGTGTATAAGTTTTAAAAACAGATCTAGCATACATGATAAATATGAAGGAAAATGCTACATTATTACGAGAGAAAGATTATCAGAGGTAATTTATATTTTTCAATCAATTTAAATTTTTGAAATCATGAACTAGTACAAATTAAACAAAAAAGAAAAACAGGCATAGAATTAACATTAATTTCTTGTGAAGAGGACAAGTGCAAACATTACCCTCTTTTTTTAATAAAATTTTAAGGGTGAACTTAAAATAAGAAAAATAGAAAGAAACAGTATTGCTTACCTAAATGTAAATATAGTTTCTCTCCTGGAAATAAACAAACACAATATTTTGAATAAATACCAGTCACTTTGAAAATACAAAATTATGTAGATTAAACAAAATATTTTTCTTTTTCAAATAATTAAATCTGTTGTATAAAAATACAAAAGAACTAATTCATTTTGCAATGACAAACCGTGGTCGAGATGTCAATATCAAATGTAATAAAAAAAAAAAAAAAAAAAAAACAAATGTTTATAATGGTGAGAACTTAGATCATACCCTACAAAAGAAAGTTTTGGGACAAGATACATAAATGAAATATATATTTATTTTACTACTGTTGATTTAAAATGTTTGGTTTATTTGTTTAACAGCTTATCAACTCTTTATGAGTCATTTAATGCTGAAATTTAATTTTCTTTGGAGCTTTTTTTTTTTTTTTAAATTTATTGCTGGTATTTTTACTATAAAAATGTATTTTGATCCCAATTTGGGGGGGGGGTCACTATTTGGCCATAGCTGGGACCTCGACAGATGCTACCACCCCTGGTCATTGTCAACCTGAGGACAATAGCAATTAAGCGGTGGTTCCATGCTCCTCAACCCTCCCTCCCCTGATTTTTTTATGGCATTAAATTTTTCACGAATCACTGGAATGAAATATCTAAACTTAATTTTTAAACTTTTTTTCTCAAAAAATAGTAGTGATTTGGAAAAAAATATTTATTATTTATGTTGAACCCCCAACATTCAAATTGAATGCAACACCACGGTCCCAAAATCGACCTGCCCTATTGCTACAACTTATTTTAATTCTAACAATTACAACTCTTTGAGACTTCTTTGTCTCTTATTTTTTTCTTTCTCTTTTCTCACCCCATTTAAGAAATAATAAAGACCAAAATTGTTTCTTTGCTCAAACAATAACCAGCTGTTAAATTTATTCCCATATTTTGTGAATATTACTTAACTTTCTAAATCATTCAGTCACTACTTATTAATACAAACTGATATGTTATCTTAAAAGTGAATAGTCTTTTATATTAATGATTTTTACAATTATAAAACCTTGTATCACTCACCATCACTCTTTTATGGTTAACACATTTTGCAATCATCACTACACACAGTTACTGGCATATCTTAATATATACAGATACACCTTCAGTTTGTAGTCAATGAAAATCCAAAATGAAGTTTGATGTATTACTCTAGAATCAATTATTACTTATAGATAACCTAAGCTTTTATTGTCTTTAATGTTTTGCTTTGTTAATTTTTTTTTTGTTTTGTACATATTAGTCTTATTAGAATTTTATTTTCCTGTCATTGTTACATTCTTTGTTTTATTATTTTTTATATTGACATATCTTGCTTTTAGAATAGAATTTTGATTTGTCAGCAAATAGTTTGAAAAGTTATTTTAATGTGTTAAATGGCTAAAAAGACTATACTTTTTACATGCATGTACAGTAGTAAGTTTTTAAAGGTCATATGAAAATGTCAATAAAATAGCAATATACCCAGTCTTATTGGTCATCAAAGAATAACTATAAAAGATACATAATATTTAAAAAAAGACTACTGACCTTTAGTACTTGTCAATGTTAATTTCACATTAAGTGTGTATATATATATATATATATATATATATATATATATATATATTATAAATTAATTGATTTAAAATATGGTTATTTTCGCTACACAGTTCCAACCATGTTTCAAAAATAGAAGCTAAAAACCCCTAATTTTATTTTTGCAAATAAATTAAAAGCATTAGTTCTATTTCATCTTCAAGCGAATTTTGGAGTAACTTTTAAAATTTACCGGGTTTTAAATACACAGCTAAAATCACGTTTCCATGGTTACAGAATATTCTACTCAAATTGAACACGGGGTGTCTAGATTTTCCTTATGACAGTATCATTGTATCAGTTATTAGCTACATTTTGGTAAGGGGTGAGGATATCTTACTGTTCTTTCTTTTTATATATATATATATATATATATATATATATATATATATATATATATAATATAATTAAAATCAGATTCCTAGGTTTCTCTGTTAAATTTAACCCTACAATATGAAAATGGTATTTTAAATTGATTTTGGATTATGTTTATTGTAAGAATTTAAAAGAATTTAAAAATATAGAGATAAGGATATTAATATAAATAACTGTATTGTCAATACTTACTCTTTTGATAAAACTGATTATCATTGTTATTGTTGTATGTAGTTATATTTAGTAAAATTCATCAGGGATTTTATGAACACTGAACTGTTTCTGATGTTAGGCTTTTGATGTATGCAGAGACTAAAACATTTTCTACTCAATCAGATGACTTATCTAGCATAATCCATTATATTGTGGTTTAGATTACTAAAATGTTTAAGAATACTGTCAATATTTCACCATACTGGAAATCAGCAATTATTTTGTCTGCAGATAAATTGCAAATTATTTTAAATGCAATTGTTGTTGCATTTTTCACTTGGTTTGTAGCATTAATTTTAAAAACTTTATCATTGGAGTTTCTTCAGATTTTTTTTTCAGATTTAAGTTGAAATTGCTTTGTTACCTAACTTGTTCTTAATATGAATTGTGATTACAGTTATCAAAAATTGCTAAGACTCATATAAATGTAATTCAGTCATTATGACAGGAAATATAGTTCAAATAGTAATTGAACTTTTAGATATAATCCTATGCATTATTAGTACCAACCAACTAGATGAGTTATACATTTTAATGAGCTGATTTTGCTAACAGTTTTTAATCAAATTAGTTTTTTTTTTTTTTCTAGTCTGGTCGACAAACATCTCAAGATGGTTCCAGAGAAAGTTCTAAGATTAAAACTGGTAAGTTTTCAATTAAATGACTTGTTCATTCATTAACTCATTCTTATGAATTTCTATTCACTAAGATAAATTAGAGCAAAATCAATGTTTAATATCATGAAAAATTCTCAACTTTTTGAACCTGTTTTCTTCTTTTTTTTTTTTTTTTTTTTTTTCTCCAGTTAACTGAGCAAAATAATAAAAAAAAATAAATAAATAAAAAAATAAGAAACATTTGAAGAATTGTGTAGAGGAACAAATAACTGCTGTATCATTTGTATTACTTTGACGATAAATAAAAAAAAATTAATCTATAACAAAATTCTTGCCTGCATTAATACTTTGTATTTGTATTGCATATCAAAATGCTTAAGAATAGAACCCAAAGTTATATATGGACTTTTTTTTTCTCAGTATGGTAACACTCAAATATTGTTTCAATAATGCATATACTATGAGTGGATTATACAATGTTTTAAGCTATCATTATATCTTGCTATACATACAGCACTGTATATTTCAATATATTGTGTGCTTTTTATTAATAAAAATTGGATTACATTAAAGCTTTACAAAATCTTTGAACTTATTTTTTATTTGAAAATTTTCAGATATATAAAAGTTGGGGGGGGGATCTTTTGAGTCAGTTTTGACAGATGTAAAAAATTTTTTTTTTTTACAAATGGAAATTTGTTTTTGTACCCACCAAATTAGTCAGATCCAGTTTGTATATTTGAATTTCTACTCATGTTGTGTTTGTTTATTTTGTAAACAGCAGCTATCAGTTGTGGAAGTAAGTAAATTTTGATAATAGCTCAGTGTTATGTTCTTATATTTTGTTCCTCATTAGATTAACTTGAGTCCTTGTTTTTATTAATAAATCATTTATTAATAAAAATGAGATTAAATTTAAGATTTTTTAATCCATTGTATCTGAATGCTTTTATATATATATATATATATATATATCCTAAAATTTCTTTGTCTTGCTAGACAACAAGCTACAGAAACACTTTGTTTCTTTTACATGTCACGGTTATGACCTGTATGATTTGGGGTTGCTTCCTGTCATTATAAAATGCAGACATCTCATAATACTTTCAGATTCAATGGGTTGAAGCAGTTACGCAAAGCAATCAAATTAATCACTGATTCACTTCTACTCAGCCATATCCATTCACTTGTATATATGCGTGCTACAGTGTCTCTTTTTTTTTCTTTTTTTTCTTTTATAACCGCATATCCTCCTAGCTTCTATATCTTAGCTAGTTAGCAGTCTGTGTCACAATTATTTTTTAATCCTCTTCTCTTCACAATATAACATTGCACTTTACCTTTCATTCAATCAATGTGGAACCTTCTTTAATGTTTACAGTGGACCTTTTGATGCTAATAACAAACCATTTTCATGGACATTTCATATATAATTTTCACTTATGATCCCATTTTATTCAATCAGAGAATCAGTAAGTTTTGCAGCAGTTATTTTATCAATGCTGGTTTACATATTTAATAGTGCACACACACACATATATATACACACACACACACACTGAAAAAATAAAACTGAATTCTTATCCATTCAAGCCTCAACTGACTTATATTGTTAAAGAGCAAATAAGGAATTTATCTATGATAAATACTCAGATCATTTTTTTTTTTTTTAATAAAAACAAAAAATGGTCATTGAAATGTCTTTGCATTTTGTTCTCTGTAAAATGGTGTTTATTTTTGTTGTTTTAATGTTTTTTGTTGTTCATTAATGATTCTTGCTTCCTCACGTTTTTTTGGTAATATTCCAAAAAGATTTTCACACAAAAATTGAAAGATTTTCACACAAAAATTGAAAGATTTTACAGAATCGCTTATTTTTCTTTTTCTGCAACTCTTGAAGTCTTGTATCAAAATAGTAATCTCAGTTTCTTCATTTGAAAAAAAGAGGGTGGGAGGGAAGCTTATTTAAAGTTTTAAATAGAAAATGTGTTATGGATAAATATGAAGCTTATATTGATAAGTAGGAAATAATTATCACCATTATTATGAGATGGGGAGGTGGAAGTTCTTGGCTGGGTTCACTTCCCAAAATCTAACCAAATGGTCAGGTATTCCCCCTCCCCTTGAAAACTTTTCAATACCTTTTGATAGTAAGTGAAAAATTCTTTTTTTTTTTTTTTTTTTTAAAAAAAAAAATTAAAACTTCAAATAAACTTTATTTAATAATAAAAATTGACTAAAAGAATATAATGTCTTACAAATTTTGTATGCTGATATTTACATCAGGACAATGTTTATATGTTCTCTACCAAAAATTGCAATTCCTTTATCATTCTCTTTAAAATGTATCTGCCACCACCAGACATCTATATTAAAAATAAAATAACAAAAACTCATTTGTATTCAGGTTAGAAGGTATCTTGCCACTCAAGAAACTCAAATAAATCTATTGACTAATCTGATAATTGAAAGTGTTGGGTTGTGGCAAACCATCATTTTTTTAAAGAACTGTTCTGCCTATTTGTAAACATTAAAGAGTATTAATGATTTGCTTTCACAAGGAATATTTTAGCAATTGTAATGTTAATAGTAACAGTTTACTAGTTATAGTTTCAAAATGATATCAATAATTCTGTTTTTCAAATTTCAAGTTACATGAAAGTGTAAATGTTCTCTGCTTTTAAAATATTAAAAATATGTCCCCCTGCTTTTAATGTATATATCTACATTATACTTAATTCTATTAAATATTTTTCAATGTTAAATAGATTTTTTTTTAATTGAATAATTTTAATAAAATAACTATATGATCATATTGTATTTGACTTGGCATTCACATGTATGATTGCATATGTGATAATTTTCTGTTGATCTATTAGGCACTAGGATGGTTTATCATCAGAGTATGTCAAGATTCAATTAGAATACTTTCATGGGGCAACACATAAATTTTGACATCTGAAATTCCAATTAGAATGCATCAAAATTTTAGTCAATTTGTTGTTTCTTTTCTTTTTTTCTCTGTAGACTGACTATGCAGCTTGTCAAAAGGTTTTTTTAATTTATATGAACACAGATTGCTGAGGAAATCAGTATGTTTGAAAAGTAAACAAAAGTTCACTGCAAATGACATTTTCTGATTAAGCTTCATCAATTGAAACTATATTTAGCATATATGTTTTGCTTATCACAAAATCTGTTTGCTTTCTTAGAGATCTCACATCTTGTTTTTATGGCCTTTCTTGTTCATTCTCTTCACATTTAAAGAGTTCTGAATCTTTCTATTCCATCAAATATGGGTTAAATAGTAAGACTTGTATCTAGAAAAATTTTCATTTTAATATTCATTTGCAAAAAGAAAAATTCTTACAATCCCCCAAATATTTGGGCTTTAAATAACCCACCAAAAAACAAAACAATCAATTAGTCCTTTAAAGGCTGTCATATATTGTCAAATAACAAGGTAACAGTGTTATTATTTGTGTGTATGCATAATCGGGTGTTACCATATTTGAAATCCTGACATCTTAGAGTACAGTCTTGAATAATATGTTCAAATAATGGATATCTTCCACTTTAGAGAATCAAAAAGTCCTATCTTAAAGGGTTGGCATCAGAAAAGATCTTAAAAAGATAAAAGTACATTGATATAAAATGATGGAGCAAATTTACTTTTGCTATCAATCATTGATATTCTTCCTTAAACAGTCTGAAATTCTCACTCATATTCAGTTAAGATTAACAACACTTTGATATACAGTGCTACTCAATGTCAAATATTTTTCTTGTTCATCTGAGAGATACAATTTATAAAGGTCTTTTGTGCTGATCTGTAAATACATTTTGACTAGTGATAGTTTTTTATTTCAACACTATATACAGTATTAGAATGTAGATCACAATAGTGTCTTGTTTATTATTACAGGTGCACACTTGTAATATTTGTAACATTTTGTTGGTTTCAACATATTTTACTAAGTAGCAAGAAGGCAACTTTGTTTTGAGTATGTTAACCTGTATATTAACTTTATATTATTTGAAGTTTTAATAGTTTATATTGCATATTATCAATATAAAGTATAAATACATTTTAGGGAATATACATTTACATCAATTTATTAACTTTTAACACTAAAAGATTCAATCATAATTTTCTATATTTTATTGTAGATTACATATTGTTATTGTAATTAATATGAAATTTTGTTTACTATTGAAATCTTATTGCTACTCCCTCCAAGTAAGGTGATATATTTTTACCTTCATACTAAATAACTTTAAACTATATATAAATCGTTCAAAGATCTTGATGGTCTTTCATGCACATACAATATTGGTTATAGAATATACCACAGAAACTATAAGTTAGTGATATACCATTAGTGACTGACTTAATTTCTTTGTCAGAATTTTTAAAATGAAATATCATTCTTATATGCCTTTCTATTTAGATTGGCATGTTCATAATTGTTATACTCATGCTTTGGCTAGTGTAATCTCCAGTTTACGTCAGGTATCTTTTATACTCTGTAACCTTTCAGGATTTTGAATGAAACCCTTTATTCAATCAATCATGGTACATTGTTCCCATTCTGCTTTCTATGCTTAGGAGATATCTTGTATCAGTTAATTTTCTGTAGTTTGTGTTCCACTAAGCCAAAATATATAAAATTGTCACTATCCTAACTAGGGATTGAACTCACAACTGCCAAGGAATCAGCTATGTTTTAACCAACACTAATCTATTAGGCCATGTCATTTGGACAATCTTGTGGTGTAATTTTGGAGTCACATGTGTTGATGACAACCCTTTTCCTTCCATGCATGTTTAGCCATGCGTGACTTTAATATACCCCTCAAACTACAACCTTTTTTAAATTCTTACTTTTGGTCTTATTTTTGTATTTCTCACCATAAATATGAGATGAAATTGAGTTCTTGGTCATGTTCTCTTGGGGCATCTTTGGAAGGATTGGACTACTTTTGAATACAATCTTGATGTTTTATGGACCATGCATCTTCCTAATCTGTTCAGATCTACTCCTTATGTATTGTAGACACTGTGACTACACTTCTGTCACTGCTTGTTGAAATTGATATTTTGCTTGAAGGTTAATCAACTTGAAAGGTGTTTCTGATACTGATCATCTGTTGATATGTGCCTGGGAAGGTCTTATTGAGTACATATGATTCAGCGGTGCTTGTACGTCTTCCTGGTGAGCCTGTGTGTGAAACTTGTTCTCATTCTATATAGGTAAACCAGATGGTCTTTACAGAGATCATTCCTACAGCCATTTCCTTAAAGAATTCTGTTTTTAATGTTTGAACCCAATTGGAATTATGCTGTTTGCACACAGAATAACACCTATATCAAGTTATCTATTGGAACCTGTGTATGCTCTCTTAGAGAAGAATCTGATTCTAATTTGTCTGAAACCACCAAGAGGCTTGATGAACAGGCTCACAACATTCAAGCTCACAATCTGCTTTGTATGAAAGGAGGTATCTCTCATGGTCTCCAGAAGTAGGCAGTTCTTCACATAGAGATGAATATGATCTTGGAGCCTCTAAATTAACACCACTTGATTACAGACCTTTGATTTAAGGTTTCAGAATGACAACGCTGGATTGTTTGTTTGAGATACATGAAGTAAATATGTAAGTTAAAACATATCTAGTTTCCTAGTGAGTTCAGTCCCTGTGTTAAGTAGTACTAAAAAGTAATATTTTGGTCCAGTGGAAGAGACACCAGTGAGATTAACAAGTGAAAGGCAAATAGACTAGAGAGAATTAATGGATAGAAGATATCATTTAAGCATGGAAAGTGAAATGGGAATAATCCACCTTCAAGTTCAGTTCAAAATTCCAAAAAGCCCAAAGAGCACAGTGACCAAAATGGAGTTAGTATAACAAAAAAAGATGAACATGTTGGTTCAATTCTCATTCATTTGTTTTCAATACAATTTCTTTTTTCATTATCCATTTTTTTCTGTTTATGATACTTTTTTTTTTCTTTTATTATCTATCTTTTAATAGTAGCACACCTGAAACAAATTTTTATTTTGGGTGAATGAAAAAGAGTTTTAGACATATTAAAATATATTAAACACTATAGTGAATATAAGTTTTATGATTTTTTAACAAATTAGAAATAGTTGACTTATTGGTCAACTTTGCAAATATTATTTTTTTACTAGTATTTCTTTCATCTTTCTGATTTTTTTTATTGATTAAAACTTCTTTCATCTTATTTCTGTTGCATCTGTCATGAAACAACAAATTCTCAAGAATAAATGATATCAGTCCAAAGTTTTACTGGTGCCTTCCCCACACCCAAACCAATCTGTGCTGTTAAAGGATGTTGATTTGGGAGTTGTAATAAAAAGAAACAAAAAATAGGTACCTCCAATAATTTGCTAAAAATTAGTATAGCATAATGTTAAAAGGCTCTAAACTTAATAAAAATGGAGTTCTATTGTTAAAATGTTTGTTATTATTAAGAGGAAAGAACAAAGTATTTTTTTAATTATTTAAAAAAAATTTTTCCTTCTTTCTAACACATTCTGAATTTGGGCCAAAAATCTCTCTTTTGTCAACTTTCTATTACTTGTGGTAATGGCCATTTTAGTGTAGCACTTTCCAGGAGAAACCCCATTAATTTGGAAATTCTTGCAAAAATCAAATAATTGCCTGATTTTAATGAAACTTTCAGGACTTACCAAAAATGAATTTATTTTTGAAATTTTTATTTTTAGAAAATCTTGGTTAAAAAATTTTTTTTTTACATCTGTTACCATCCCCTCCAATATATTAATTTTATGAAATTTTCTAAAATTCCAAACACTTCAAAAATTGTTTTATATTATAAGCAGGACTTCTTGGAGAAATTAAATCAATTTTTTTTTTTTTTTTTTTTTTTTACAACTACTGCTAACTTTTTAAAAATCTGCTCCAAATTGTAAAATAAAAACTTCAATAAACTATCTATAAATAATATACATTAAGGACATTATCTGGAGAAAAAAAAATTTTCGATGAATAATTTTTACAAGAATTGTTTGCATTTTTCTTTTCTTTTTCATTTTTCTTTTTCATTTTTCTTTTTCATTTTTCTTTTTCATTTTTCTTTTTCATTTTTCTTTTTCATTTTTCTTTTTCATTTTTCTTTTTCATTTTTCTTTTTCATTTTTCTTTTTCATTTTTCTTTTTCATTTTTTTTTTCTTTTTTTCATTTTCTTTTCATTTTTCTTTTTCATTTTTCTTTTTCATTTTTCTTTTTCATTTTTCTTTAATTTAAAAAAATGTATATCTTGTGGCATTATGGTTAAAAGGTCACATATTTCAAGGCTTGTCCCCTCCTGAGGGAAAGCCCCTTGACATATAAAGCTCGTCAGCTTATGTCACTCTCAGTTATTAAATTAAAAATTAAATTGAGATAATAAAATTCTCATTTATCAATTTAAACAATTAATAACTGAATGAGATATTTTAATTATCAATATAATAATAATTTTATTAGTTATTATCTCAGTTATTAAATTAAAAATGTAATAACTTAATGTAATATTAATAATAAAATTGTTTATCATTATTTTAGCTATAACAAAGAAATAACATTATAGATGTAACTCAATAATGTAAGAAATTTTTATAGTATTTTAAATTATTATAAGAAACAAAAAACTTATGTCAATTTTGATGCACCTACTAAACCTGTCAACACATTCAGCCATCAAATTATTGATGGAGACGAGAAAATAACAATACACTGAGGTCAAAAAAGGTTTGTCTAGAAAATTTTATAAGTGATATTTGTTTCAGAACAGATTAATTTAACTTTAAATTTGCTAATTTTTATGAAAGTAACGTTTCAGAAATGTACATCTTATTTTAGCAGAATCTTCAAAAGAAAAAATGTTTTGTCCGATGTTTTTTTTTTTTCTGGAATTAGAAAATTTAATCCTTTAGCTTTCAATTGAAACTGAGGGAAAGCTTTGAAAAAGATTTTTCCTTTATGAAAAATACATTTAAACCTTAGGTATAGAGAATTTTTGGAGGTACCTAAACAAAAATAAGATCAAAGAAATGCTAGTTGAAAATTGTTAAATTGACAATACTTCATCAAAGAAACTTAAACACCAATATAGCTTGCTTTTTGGAATTTCAGAAATTAAGCATTATCAATTATTAGTTTTTCAACGAGTGTTTCTTTCATCTTAATTTCGGTTGCTTTTTATTGCCACAATTTAAGAGTTGTGATAAAAAGCAATTGAAATTAAGATGAAAAATACTGTTCAGAAAACCAATGACTGGCTTATGTTAGTTATATTCTGTGTTTTAGGCATCTGTTAAAATATGAATTTTTAACATGTAATTTTTTTTTTGCAGGTTTTTTTTTTTTGCATTTCTATGATTTTAATGAATTACTTATAGTTGTCAGATAAGTGAATAAGGAAAATATTATTTTAGGGAGTATAAATATTAGGGGGTACAGAAAGTAATGGCTTATTGCACCACTGAATTATGAGACCATCAACCAAGGCAAAACTAAGGTTAAAGGGTATAAAACTGTCTAGAATTAGTCTATCTCTTTCTGACAATTTGTTTAGAAAGCATTTCAGGGTTTAATTGGGAAAACTTGCAGAGATTTGTGCTCCTCGTGAGCTTTTGCATAAGAACCAAACACAACATTCTACCATTTGCAGGAATGCTATCAACCTTTTATTTTTACATCACATTGTTACAGGTGATAAAAATGTCAACAAAACGAAAAAGACAGTGATTATCACAATATAAGAAAACAGAACTCCATACTTTGTCTGGTGGAAAATGAAAGGCGTTGTTGTCCATTACAAGTTATTGAACCATGGAATGACTATCCCTGAAAATGTTTATTGCTAGCAACTTGATTAGGTAAAGAAAGCATTATGCAAGTGTCCTGCTTTAATAAACAGAAAAGGTATTCTTCAAAATGACATTTCGGGAGTACACTCTCAAAAACAAACCCAAGAAAAAATAAGATTGTAACAATGAGAGGTTCTTCCACATCCTCTATACTCACCAGATTTACCACCTACAGACTTTCATTTGTTAAAGTCTTTCAATTTTATTTTTTTATAAGAAAAAGCTAACTTTAAAAATTTTCCTTGCTGTTAGGCTGCAGTCATTGTGAAGGTGATTCCATTTTTGATAATATTTAAATAAATATAGGATACAAAAACTAATGAAACCACTTTCTGATAAAACCTAATTACTTTACAAGCACCCTAATATTTCAGCAATTATCTTTTAAAATTGACTGAAATAGCTTTGTTTGGTTTACTATTTTAAGAAAATTAATTTTTCTTAATGTTAAAGTACTGTTGTTAAAAGGAATTGATTACAAAAATACATAAGCCAATTTTGAGAACTTGGGTATAATACAGCATCATATTACATTGATGCCTATAGATATAGTTTGGGTAACTGTTAAAGCGCATTGAAAAACAGGAACATAATTTTTGGTTGATGGTAGACTGTTTGGAAATTTTTTTTTTAATCTTAATGTTAGGCTACCTTCTTGCTAATATTTTATTCTTTTAAAAATAACTTTTAATTACTCACTTCAGGTTCTTTAAGTCGTTCCCGTCCCAGTTATGCCGCTCCCCGCTCGTCAGTGATCTCCCAGAACGGACAGTCATCAGTCAACAATGGGACTGATGACAAAACGAAATTGGGAAATCAAGGTAATGTTTTGTTTTTGTTTTTTTAATTATTTGCAAAGTCTTTTTTTATATTGCTTTAAACTTATCATAATATTTACTAGTAGCTACCAAAAGTGGACCTTATCAATGCAGTCCCATTGAACATTTATCAAGACTTCTCTTGGATAGAGGGCCATTTTAGGTTGTGGGTTTAGCCTCTTCACATCCACTCAGCCATTTTTTGCATCATATTAATATTCTTTTAAATTGTCCATTTTTTATCACTAGTTATTCCTCCCAAAATAGATGAATTTACAAGACTGCAGATGTCTGTTTTTATTTTACAGTCAGCTTCTATCAAATCATGAGGAACCCACTTCCCAAATTTATGTACCTTTCCAAACTTTTGCAAATGATGGTAACCACTGGATATCTTGAATTCAGTTTTGGAATTAATTCTTCAACTGTAAAAGCACCGTTTCTATCAAGTGTGTATAAAAATAGGTCATCCTTAAACTGAACAAGATTACCCGTTTGTGGCACATTTATGTTAAAATCACCCCTCTTTTTTTTCTTTTTCTTTTTTTTTATCATATTCCTATTTTTAATGACATTATTTAATTAACATAAATATTTTGGTCTATATCTGTAACATTGTTTTTCTAAACTTGGAGCATTACATGTCTTATATGCTCTATAAATTCATCCATCTTTAGGAGGTTCAAGTTAATAAGTAAATTTTTGAATAGTACTGTGACAGTAATGTTTTTAAAACTTTATGAAAGCATATGAAAATGTATTATCAATTATGCATTTTAGAATAGCAAAAATTGTTAAACTGGAATATTAAACATTTTCAAAGTCAATAACCTGCAAAAAATGCAATGAGTTTCTATATATTTTGATTTAATTTTCACTTTTTCTGCCTAACTCTTATGCTCTTTCTTCAGATGAAAGTTGAAGATGAAAAACTTGAAAGTATTTTGTGCATACAATATTTTTATCATTATTTTGTTGCAGGACGGCGGAAATCCAACTGCGTAAAGGAAGTGGAGAGGATAAAACAACGACGTGAAGAGAGGAGAGCCCACCAACAAGCTGTTCGAGAACTACAAGATACAGAATTTGATACAACTGACCCAAACTGGGAGTTTTTGTCCATGATCAGGTAATAAGGTTCTTTCCTTTTGAAAAAAAGGTTGCATTTATTATTAGAATATGGTCATAGACCTTATTTTTAAATTTGGATTGAGGGCTTTCTTTAACATGGGATAATACCCACTCAGCAAAATAATACTATACAGAGTGTGATGGATAAATTGTCATTTAAATTACGCAAAAATAAAAATAACACTGACATCTCATTTTAACATATTTACCAAAATTACACAAAAAATATCTTGAAATACTAAAGAGCAAATTTATTCAATAAAATCACCATTGGCTTCAACCATGGCCTCCAGACAACTTCGGAATCTCCTGCAACTCTTCTGGACAGTCTCCTTGTTTAAGTTGGTGAATGTTGCCATAATCCTTGCCTTCAGTTCATCTTTGGTATTATAAGGAGTTTTATTGATCTCCCGCTCAACTGCGCCCCACACATTAATCAAGGGGTTTGCGGTCTGAGGAGTTAGCTGGCCAGATGTGAGTGATGTGGCTGCAGAAATTGTTTGACAGCCATGACTGGGTTCTCCTGCTTGTGTAGCATGGTGCAGAGTCCTGTTGTCAGACATAGGGTCTTCCAACAGCCATCCTCTTGACCCAGAGCATCACTACCTCCTCATGACACTTGATGTAGGTCTCCATATTGAGTTTAAGGCCCTCACCAACAAATTCAGGGGTTCTTTTCTTATCAGAATAATCAAAGTGAGTTTTCTGAGCTGCTGTACCTTCTTAATCACCATTAGATTCATCCAACTCTTTCAGAATCCTCTGCACAGTCCTCAGATTGATGCCCAAATACTCTGAAATATGTGTATTGGAGCTTCCAGCACAAATGCCAAGCAGTACAGCATGCTGTTTCCAAATTTCTGGTGAAATGAATTGTGTCATGGTACTCTTTTTCTCATGGATGGTGTCCAACTGACCCTACTGTACTGTGCAGCCAACAAAAACAAACTGCATGCATGTGTGAAATTAAAATATGAAATGGTAACCCTTTACCCATCACACCCTGAATATGTGAAAATATATAATTTCACCGGAAGCACAGATGTTATATTAACAAATCATATTTATTTACATGATTACTAATTTTAAGTCAAAGAAAATGTGTATGGATGGTATATTAAAAAAGTTGATATTAAATATTTTTTATATATTTAATCATCTTGGTCAACTGGTTTTATCGTGTTCCTATTTTCAGCTTGATGTTAGGCTAAATGAATATAAAATAGTTTATCCAGTTAATGCTGAAATTTTAACAGTTTGTTATAAACAGTGAGGTCTTTGAATTGTTTGAAAACTTGTAATTTTTTCTTTGCAGGGAATTCCGAACCAGTTTGGAATACCGTCCTCTCACTGGATCAGACCCAATAGAAGATCACCAGATTTGTGTTTGTGTCCGAAAAAGGCCACTGAATAAAAAAGGTCAGTCGGCCTCTTTTAATGTTGATCAATTTTAACTTTGTTTCATTGTTGCAATCTTAATGGGTTTTAAATGGTAATTCACTATTTCTCTGTAACAGTACTATGTTTATCAATATTTTTCACAAGCAGAAAATAATCATTCATTTTAAAAAGGGAAAATAGTTCAGAAAAATTCTGTAAGAACATTAACTGTTTATCAAAATAAAGGAGGGCCTTACTTTAAGCTTTCTAGTAAAGATGAAAAATTTAATGATTCAATTTATTACCTAATTACCTACTATCATTTGGTTTGTAAACTTATTCCTCTTCACCAGTGCCATCAATCGCATATCTTGTTGGCCATGGCAGTCATCCTTATGGGGTTGACATGGACTGATACCTTTCTCCAGTGATAATCCTATTAGCATGGAATATAACAGTGGTGACGAGGATTGTTGAATCTAATTCACATATCAAATTGCAGTGGTGCCAAAACGAATTCACAAGAAGAAAAATATTTGCCGGTTATATGTTTGGTTTACAAGAGTTTCAAAGTAAGACAACACCTTAGGAGATTATAGCATTTTGCAATCTGAGGAAGACATTCTGAAAAAGATTTATCACGTAAAATCTTTTATAAGTAAGAATATTTTTGTTGTATTCTTTATTATTTGAAAATTACACGAGTAATTTGAGTTTATTAGAAGGCAAAAAACAAAGGTTGAGTTTTTTTTTTTTCTTGTCTGTCATTCGTTGTTCTGAAAAGACTTGTCGAACTAAAGTATGGAACAATTAACAGAGCTTACGAAACTGTTGTGCACTACTGTTAAGCAACAACAACAGCAAATACAACAGTTGCAAAACCAACAACTTCAACTTTTTGACAAATTAATGACTAAAACCGGAGAACAAATTTGTTAATGGAATTTCATTATGACCCAGACAATGGGATTACCTTCCCTGCATATTTCAGAAGATACAAATCTATATTTACAAGTAGATGCCAAGACTGGTTAGATGAGGAAAAAGTCACCCTTTTATTAGAAAAAATGGGGACAGATGAAAATATAAAATACTCTAATCTAATATTAGAAACCAGAAGAAGTCTCGTTTGAAGAAACAATTAAAAACCTATCAAGAATATTCGATGAAAGAGATAGCTTGTTCCACACACATTACAAATGCCTTAATATCGTTAAGTTAGAAAACTAGGATTTTTTATCATATGCTGGGACAGTTAACTCATTATGTGAACTTTTCAAAATTGATAAGATTTCAAAAGATTTATTCAAATGTCTAATATTTATTCAGGGACTAACAGCTCTCAAGGACAAGGATATCAGGCTGCGGATTCTTACTATAATTGAAAAAGACAATGAGATTACTTTGCAAAAAGTTACTGAAGAATGCCAGCATCTAATTAACATAAAACAAGATAATACTCATATAGAGGAAAAGAATGCTTTCAAAGTTCAGCGAGTAAAAGTAAAAAAGGTCCCAAATGTGAAGAACAAAAAGTAATGTGAATGTTGCAGAGGATTTAATCACACAAAATAATTGCTGGTATAAAAACAAGGTATGTTTAGAATGTGGCTGTAAGGGACATAAAGGGTCCCGATGCTATAAAAAAAAAAAAAGACCGGTGAAAAAGTGAATGTGATTCTCTCCAGAAAGGAATTTGAGAATGGCAAGAAATGAAAGTATGTCAATGCACATATAAATGGACATATGGTAACATTTCTTTTGGATTCAGGTTCTGATATTAGTATAATTGATGAACAGACATGGAGGAAAATAGGTTGACCAAAATTGACTCGCACAAACAAAATTGCCAGTGGTATTTCAGGAGAAACACTCAAATTTAAGGGTGAACTTAAGTGCAATGTTTCATTTTGTGATAAGACTTTCAGGTCAAAAGTCAAAGTACATAAAGGGAACAACTACCTTTTCGGCATAGATTAGATCATGCTATTTAATTTATGAGAATTGCCTGTAAACTCTTTTTGTAATCAGGTGAACACCTGGGGAAAAGAAAAAGTTAAAACAGACAGAAAAATTCATGCATGATTTGAAGGACAAATTTCCCAGAGTTTTCTCTGAAGGATTGGGTATGTGTTTGAAAAATGGAGCTGAAATTTGAAATGAAAGAAAATGTTTAACCGATTTTCAGACCTAAAAGGAACATTCCATTTTCTTCATTATATTCTATTAACAAAGAACTAGAAAGATTAGAAAAATTAGGTGTTATTTCAAGAGTGGATCACTCAGATTGGGCATCGCTTACTGTGTATGTTAAAAAGAAAAATAATAGAATTAGAGTATGTGCAGACTTTGACAGGTCTAAATGACTGTCTAAAAGACTACAGTTACCCACATCCCTCACTTGAGGACATTTTCTCAAAATTAAATGGGGGTAAAATATACTCTAAAAGAGATTTAACAGATGCATACTTGCAAGTCAAAGTAAACGAAGAGTGTTCTAGGTATCTGACAATTAAAACACACATAAAGGATTATTTAAATTAAGCCGACTGCCTTTTGGTTTAAAAGTTGCACTGTCACTTTTTCAACAAATGGATACAATGCTTGCAGGGTTAGAATTTGCCATTGCTTATTTGGATGACATCTTGGTGAAAAGTAAAAATATGGACGAGCATAAAAAACACATAAGGGCTATCTTCAAAAGAATAGAAGAATTCAGATTCAAAGTGAACTCTGAAAAATGTGAGTTTTTTATGGAAAAAATTAAGTATCTCAGGCAGATTGTGGATAAAGATGGCAGAAAACCAGATCCACAGAGAACTGAAGCCATAAGAAATATGTCTGCCCCAGATAATGTGGCAAAATTGCGATCATTTTTAGGTTTGTCGCAATACTACGCAATACACATTCCAAAGATGTATGAATTAACAGCACCAGCAAACAAATTGTTGAAAAAGGGGGTTAAATGATGTTGGACCAAAGACTGTGAAAAAGCTTTTCAGAAAATTAAAAACTGTTTACTGACTGATTTAGCATTGGTACACTATGACCCAGAAAAAGAAATAGTTATCGTTTCTGACGCTAATGAATATGGAATCGGAGCAGTGCTACTTCACAAATACAAAGATGGTTCAACAAAACTAATTGTACACACTTCAAGGATTTTTTTGCCAGCAGAAAAGAACTACAGTCAGATTGAAAAGGAAAGTTTAGTAATCATTTTCACAGTTAAAATTCTATCATTTCCTTCACAGTAGAGTGTTTACACTACAAACTGACCATAAGCTGTTATTGACCATTTTTGTATCAAAGAAGGGCATTCCAACTCCTACTGCAGACTGATTACAGTGGTGGGGTGTAATATTGTTGAATTACCATTTTAAAATGGAGTACATCTCATCTAAAAATTTGGGTCATGCAGATGGACTATCAAGGTTGATTCCAAAACATAATGAAATTTTGAAAGAAACTGTAAATGCAGCTTTAAAGGACAAACAAGAAATATCGCATTTGCTGTGTAATACTGTTTGGGAATTACCAGTGACGTTGGGAGACATAAGGAAAGCAGCAGAAAATGATAATTTTATTAAAGATATGAAAATACAAGCCAGGATAAATAAAAGAAATAAAAAGGGAAAAAAAATTTCTTCTTATTCGATCTGCGAAAATACGCTAATGTACACAGACAGGGTAGTGATGCCACAGGCATGACATAAAAAGATCTTAAAAGAATTTCATACGGGTCACCCTGGCATATCTCATATGAAATCTTGTTTGAGAAGTTATGTTTTTTGATCACAAATGGATATGGACGTTGAAAATTCTGTGAAAAATTGCATAGGATGTCAGTTATCTGCAAGAGCCCCGCCAGTTAAAACACAACCATGGCCAGAAACAGATATCCCCTGGACACGTCTACACATTGATTATGCAGAACCACTTAATGGGTATTATTATCTGATCATTGTGGATAGTTTCTTGAAGTGGCCAGAAGTTTTTAAATACAAACACCCAACTTCTAAAAATACTATCAGTGCTTCAGACGAAGTTTGCAGCTGCTTTGGAGTTCCTTGGACATTGGTCAGTGATAACGAAACTGCATTTACAGGTAGAGAATTCAAAGAATTTTGTGCTTCATTGGACATTGAACATGTCACAACTCCAATTTACCACCCAAGATTGAATGGACAGATGGAGAAATTTATGGGCACATTCAAATGAGCATTAAAGAAAAATCAAGTGGTAGACACAGAGGAGAAATCTATACAGAAATTCTTCAGTATACAGGGTAACACCGAATGCAAACAATACAGCAAAATCGTCATCTGTGGAATTGAGGTTTGCGAGAAAGATAAGGTCAATATTCGAAAGATTGTTGCCTTGTACAAAAAAGAAAATATGTAATAGAATTTCTGTACAAAAAAATATATGCCTAGTGATAAAGTTTTCTTTAGGAACTACCGAGGTGGAAAATGTTTTGGGGAGGATGGATGGAGTTATTTCAAATAGAATTAGAAGAGTTATCTATATGGTGAAAGGAAAAAGATGGGTATGCAAAAGGCATGTAAACTAATTAAAACCAAGATATTCTGAAATCGTTTAACAGGAGGATGAAGAAATTCCGATGGATGTCCTGTACGACACGTTTGAAATAACACCGCCCACTAACATACCAGAACGCATAGGTAACATCTCCTACACCAGCTTTGTCTGTACAATCGAGATGGTATTCACCTCGAAAGTGTAAAAGAAAAAGAAAACCCACAGTGCGGTTAAGTCCAGACCCGAAAAAGAGGAGGTATTAAAAAGCTAAATTTTCTAGAGGAAAATTTCAGCTCGGGGAGGTGATGTAATGGAATAACCTGGTATCCCCATGAATGACAACACTATAGGTAGTAAGTACCTATAAAGTCAACGGACTACATGAGACTTACTGGGATCTGTTGAGTATGACTCCGACTTACTCAAAAACTATTCGACCTTCCAACTGATTTTACAATAACCTTTATTTAGTTATCCAGTGTTGTTTCAGTGATATTCCTATTAGCACGGAATATAACATGAAGTATAACTGTCACATTCATTTTGATTGATTTGGGTGAATGAGACTTGCATAATCAACAAAAAAAACCCAAAAAACACCATCAAACAGTTATAAATTAAATTTTATTCAGTTCTGACTTAGGATTGGGCAAGGCATGTGATAGAGATAAATATCTTTTGAAATATAACTTGTGAGAATCTGAAGATAGTTTATGTCCAAGGACAGAGTACAGAAGATATCAATGCAAATTCACTGGGAATTTAACATCCTGACACCTTGTGATGGAGGTTAGAATGGAGTTTTTTCACTTCAAACTGGTCTGACTTTGGAAAAACCAGTTTCTTTTATGGAGCCTTCAGACAAAAACTGATTTGCAATGTATGTGATAGATTCATATCTGCCACCACCTACATACAGTGTGGCAAACTATTCAACTTATTACTAAACATTTTCTGAATATGAACTTTTTTTTTAACTTTGCCTCTTAAAAAAATTGTTAAATACCCCAGTGTATATATTTTATAAGTATATCTAAGTTAAAAAGAAATTCTGTTTATCTGAAGAGTTTCTACTTTTGTTGTTCCAACTATTTTACTGGCTTCATAACCATCTATCCTTAAATAATTGACAAAAAATTGTTTTATTTCACTAGTCATCTAAGAACTAATGCTTTTCATATTATGCCTGTAATCTGAAGTCAGAAGATTTCTGTTAGTAAATCTGATTTAAGTATTTGAGGATACAATAAAACTAGAATAAAACTTTAACTCTTTGTATCTGAAACCTGCAGCTATTCATGCAGACTTTTAAATCATTTACAGAGTTGAGTCGACGTGAAGCTGATGTGATAACCATCCCCAATAAGGACCATGTCATAGTGCATGAGCCTAAAGTCAAAGTGGACTTAACAAAATATGTAGAAAATCAAAATTTCCGGTTTGATTATGCTTTAGATGAAAATGCTAATAATGAAATGGTTTATCGGTAAGTATGTTCCCTAAATTTATTTTTCATGTTTTATATGACAAAAAGCAAAATTTATTATTTGAGACTGTCAAGTAAATTGGAAAATCATGTCTGATTCCAGAGCCCTTACTGTTGAATAGATAAAATGCAAATGGATTGAAATTCACTTATTGAACACACAAAAAAATTAGCCATTCCAACGCACTTGACAAAACTGTTAAAAAGATATCTGCAAAATTGAATGCAATCCATGAGCTTGGCACATTTTTTTCTCCATAATATTGGGATCCGAATTAGACAAAAACAGTCAAAGATCATCTTTAGTCATGTTATCAGACATGTTAAAGGAAAGACTTTTAACTTCCTTTTATTTTTTTTTGTATTTTATCATGCTACCTCTAGCTTCACATCTCACAGTCTACAGCCCTTCTCAAATGTACCATGGCCTCAAAATAGGTCACATGGTGCTTAACATCAAGAATAGCTTCTTTAGATAATAGACATGGTTCAGTGATAAGCATGTAAAACTAAGAAATTATTATTTACACTATTTATATTTGGACTATTTATTGTCCTCACAATGTTTTGGCCATTGTGCCTTCCAGCCTTCCTCAGTTTGACATGGGGTGGGGGAATGACCAAGAATTATGTTTACTCGATTACTTGCAGTTGTGGCAGAGACTGACGGTGAAACAAGCCACCCCCTAAAAGTTAGGCTAGAAGAACATCAAAAAGCTATAGTGAGGGGTGAGACAATGGAATCTGGCATAGCTGATCATGTCTGGAGGAAAAGGGGTAGTCATTAGACCCTGTGTAATGTAGTGAAAATACTGGACAACAAACACTGGAGATTGAGTTGTTTGACAGAATCAGCACATATGCTAGGCTATGAGGATCTCTTTAGTAGACCTAACATAGAAATAAATACAATATGGGAGCTGCTAATAAAGACAAATGCTACCAAGTTTTTGACTGTAGCAGCAGCAGCCAAAGCATGATAACAGCAGCAGTTGCAATTCTAATCAGCAGGCAGGTTAGGTTTAAGGTTCACTACAGCAAATTGTCCTAGTGGATTAAAGCATTGGTTTGTGAATTTGGTGACAGTGATTGTGAGTTCAATCCCTGAATTGGGCTGTGTGTACTCACATGCAGTGGAAATGGGTGATCAATAACTGACCAGTACTAAATAAAAATAAGAACTACTAGACATGAGCAGTGGAATGAGAACAATCTACCTTCATAGATTAAATAAAGGGTTCAGTTCAGAATTCCCTGTAGGATACCCACCCAGATTGATATACACCTGAGGAGAGTACAACAGCCAAATTTTGTGATAGCAGCAACAAAAGTTAAGACAAATATAATTAATGTAAATAACTCCTCATCCCAGAAATTATTACTAGATGCATTTTTAAATACATTTTGCAATAACCAAAGCAGTTGACTTACAATATTGATTTATTTTTTTTTATTTATTCATTTATTTTTTTTTTTTTTTTTTTTTTTTTTAATCAGATTTTATGTAAAAACTTGTCATAAAAATATTTGAAACTTCTCCCTAGTAAATTGTTGTTAATCTTTTCTTTAAAGCAAGATTTAATTTTAATATTTTGATAAATTTTCAGTAATAAGTATCAATGATTGTTTGTGAAGTTTTAAATTTTAGACCTTACTGTTAATGTTTTTTTTTTTTTTTTTATGCTGTGAAGTTTTTTAAATATTGAAAAGTTAAAAATGTTAGCAAGAATTATCAAAATAAACTTTTCAAACTTTAATCAAAATTTTCAATGTAAATAGTATCTTCTTGATATATTGTCAAAAATCTGTATTTAATAAAACTTCCTACTCTGCAGCTAAACTTTTGAAAATTTTTCCTATTACTGACATGAAAACTAGGATTATTAATTCATCTCTAAATATTGATGGATTAATAGATGAGAAAATTGATCATTACTATTACTTTCATCAAATTTACAAAATTTAAATGGAATTATTAAAATAGCATTTTGAATGTAAGTATTATGCAGAATGTCAATCCATATATTCATTTTGGTGTTTTTAGGTATGCTGCAAGACCATTAGTAGATTGTATATTTGAAGGTGGAATGGCTACTTGTTTTGCTTATGGACAAACTGGAAGTGGTAAAACACATGTATGTATTTTGTTTTTCTTTAAGTTTTATTTTGTTCAGCTTTTAATTTACCTATCATGCTTTTAGCTGATATACAAAGTTTATTTGGAATCACATTTGTGGTCATTCCTGAACACTGCAATACAATATTTTTTTTTTTTTTTAATATTTTTTGATGTAGTTTCATTGGTTAAGAAAAGTTTAAAATTGTTTTATGTAATGAAATAAATGGGATGTATAGGTAGTGTAATGGTTATTGGTGCAGAAAATGGAATTAACAAGCCGTTCAAATTCCATCCGAGTTCACTTTCACACTAATGCCCTTGGGAAAAGCAAGAATTAACCTTCTCTATCCCTGCTTGGCTTAAATAGAAGGGAAAACTGGGGTCTTTTGCCTTGGATTGTGGCCAGTCTAGGAAAAGGACTACTTTGAATAAAAACCATGGAAAGATAACTGGAAACTACTCAACTCTCTCTCCAAAGAAGTCATTGCAATTTACAAACAAGGAAAAAAGTATGTAGTGAGCTGTAATTGCCTATATACTAAATGTATGTGGCATTTGAAAAAATGGATAAATGAATCAAATGTTTTATTAAATGATGTACTAAAATAATGAATATTTTCCACCTATGAAAAATAACAACAAGCATTATCTAGTTTGGATTTATATATGTATATGTCAGCTTCATGGTTAAAAAAAAAAAATCAACAAGCACTTCTAACTGTATTCAACATTAAACATTGTTTCATTATATGACCCAAAGACTAATAGGTTAATGTCAATGTTCAGCTCCAAAAGTAATCAAAGATCAGGGTTTATATTGTTTCTAATGATTTCATCACTGTTACCCAGGATTAGCATTTATTATATTACTTGTACCAAATGATAAAAAATAGTTTGGAACCATTGACAAACTTTTTCTTTTCTAAATCAAATTTCTGCTTGAACATACAATTTGTCAACCCAACTTCAGAAATTTACTGTTAAATATTGTTGCCTCTAAACCTCAATTTATGCAGTTATGATCAAAAAATACCATTTTCATATAAAACAATGGAAAGAAAGAAAGTTTTTGCAACATCTTCAGAATATAAAGGAATTTTCTGCTTAGAGTTACTTATTTTTATACATCTAAAATTAGCTACAGATAATAAAGTAATAGCTATATTATTGATAATTACATTAATAATTGTAAGAGTTTACATATATAGCACAAAGCTATCATTACTTTGTTACTGTAAAATAGTTGAAGTGTTTTGTCTCTCATTTCTGTCTTAGTTTTATGTAGGGAAATGATTTTCTGCAGATAAAGATTATATACCAGTGAATTAATATGGGATTCTTACCAACAAGAATCAAAACCAATCCAATGAATCTTTCTTCAGAAATCTTTATCTTTGTTTAAAAAAAATATGTTTATTGTAATTTTGATATTAATGTACTGTTTTAATGCTCAAAGTAATCTGTATGTTTTTGTACACTTAAATATATTGTTGAGATGTAAACTTTTCTTTGGCAGATTGTATAGATAGATATACAGGGAGAAAAATATGAGGGGTGCTGAAAAAGTTCTCACTCAGCCTGATCAAAAAGAACTTTTAAAAAAATCTTGTGTTTAGTCATTTAAAGATCAAACTTTGGGAAGTTATTCCAAGAATTTTTCATTACCCCGTCATATTAGTGATAGTATAAAATGGTTTTGTTTAGAAACTAAGTGCACAACAAGCATCACAGATAACCTTGCTACTGTTGTGTGTTGAGCTATCAAGCAAATACAACAAAGTTTAAAATGTAAAAATTGTCTTGTGAATATGTATTGTACATTTAAGCTCTTAAATATTTTATCACTAGGTGATCAAAATGATAATGTGTACATGTTTATATGATAAGTCAAAATGTTTGTCATTAATTAACTACTATTAATATAATTTATTGATAAAACTATTCTTTGTGTACCAGTCTTTGTTTTCTTTCTTTCTTAATTGAATTTTTTTTCTTTGCAGACAATGGGAGGGGACTTTTCAGGGAAAAGTCAAGATTGTAGTAAAGGAATTTATGCATTAGCAGGTAGGTATTTTTATGTAGTTTAAAAATGAGAATGTTAAAGAATGTTCCCCGTATTTTAAAGAAACTTTTATGTGAATCTTCTAAATTCTTTTCATTAATTTTCAGTTTAAAATCAAAAGAAAGTTAAACTCTTCAATTGCCATTTATTGTAACACTTGTTTTGTAATTATCTTGGCTCTAATAGAAATGCTTAGCTTTATTCAGAAACTAACTATAGAGAACTTTGTGTTTTGCTGAAAGGCCTTAAAACTAATAGTGAAGTAATACCATTTCACTTTACATTGTCAGGTTTTATTATAAAAGTGTTTTTCATTTTATTTATATATATATATATATATATATTTGTTAACCAACTAATGTGCGTAGAATTTTCAGACTATATTTGCATGATCAATATATTATGAATTTCAGCTTTTAATATCTATCTTTATTTATAATATTGTCAGTAACTTGTTTTGTGGTGTCTAGTTTTATGATGCAAAATGCAACATCAATTTTTATAAATAAATCCAAAAGTTATAAGCTGTAGAAACACATAATACAATATCCTATATACCAGAATAAATAACTATTTTACACATTAACATGGGCCCCTTGACATTCTATAACTTCCATCAGTTTTCATTGATTTATTTTTTAATTTTATTTTTTGACTGACATTTTTTTGCAGCAGTTTTTATTGCTTCCCAGAAATCTTCCTTGCTAGAATATTATTTTCCATTATATTAAGTTATTTTAAGCAAGGTGGGCATTAGTCAGCTTTGTAGAATGAGAAGAATCATTGTCTTGCATGAATATACTCTAGCTTATAGCTTTTTTGGTTGAGACCTGTTTCTTTCAAAAATGTTTTGTTCAAGTATTTATAATAATTCTAGGCATTTATCTTGATATTATCATCAACCTTGAAGAGATCTATAATTTTACTGCTTACAGTCCAAAATGTTACTTTATTTACCCATCGTTGTCTTCTGAGTTGTATTGGTTGATTTTTTTTGTCCATGAAGAACTCGAACTTTAGCTTGTCAATCAGTTTTGTATTCATCAAAAATTGTTGGAATTTTCATGCACTACTTCACCAAACTTAATCTTTCTCTCTCTTTACATTTGCAATACCAGATTCTTTGAATATATTGTTGTTGATCAATTCACTCTTTGCTTATTACTCTCATTTTTTTTTTCTCAAATTTTGGTTTTGTGACTTTCTTAAAGCCAGTTATTTCAGTTATTATTCTGCTTTATTTGCCAAATACATAGGATTATAAATAGACATATGTAAATAATTTTGTCATAATTGCTTTGACAATTTACTTGGGCAATTGACAAAGTATATAAACTTTAGTGTAAAGGTAGTTGGTCAGTTTAACATTGATGCCATTTAAAACAACCAGTAGCCACAATAAGAAGCTATATAACCTGTCCCTGGTTGGACACAAACTTGTCATTCTTTGCTGTTAATAGTTAACATTGTTCTTGCAGATTTTAAGCTTTCTTGTGGAAAAATACTTTTGTCATGTGTATCACTTGATTATTTAGTATAGTTGACTTCTTTTTTTTTCTCAATTGTTGTGCAAGATTGCTTGTTTTTATTTATACAAATTTTACCTAATTTGACACAAGATCACATTTAAAGAACACTTGATAAACAATCAACTCATTATTATTATTTTTAATGATTTTGTTTGTGATAAAATTCATGCTGTTTGCTTTGTTATAAGATCATAAAAAGTCATTATTGTGTGAGCATTAACACTGAAAGACATCTGCAATAGTAAATTTTGCTTCATTTTTAATATTGATAATTCTCAGAATAAACAATAATTGAATATTTTGCTTAGCTTTATCAAAATCAAATAGTATTTCATAATTATACTATATTTATATAATATATATACTATACTATATTTTCCATTAAAATCTTTTGTTTAAGAATCTTTTTTTTCTTGTCTTCCATAATGAGATAACACATTGTTTTGTTGCAGCTAAAGATGTTTTTAAATTACTCCATTCTCGTTACAAAAAACTTGACCTCACTGTAAGTGCAAGTTACTTTGAAATTTATAGTGGCAAGGTAAGTGCTTCAATTCTTTCTCCCTAATAAAAAAAAAAAAAATTGCTTGAGACATTATTTATGAGTGTAATTGTAACAAAACATTTGTATTAATATTTTTTGCTTGATCAAAATAAGTACTAAGGATTATTTTAGTATTTCTATAATAAAATTCACAAATTATCATTTTCATGTTGCAAAACATAAATTTTAGATTTTTTTTTATATCGATCTATGATTCAGCTTTAGATACTTGTTTCAACAGTCGACTTGTGAGGTACCAGTATTTATATCAAAATACCCAGTAGATTTTACTTCTGTTTTTAAGCTTTTATTTGATTCTTATGAAATTAGCCCTAATTATTATTATTATTATTATTTTTATTTTTTTTTTTTTTGTAGGTATTTGACTTATTGAATAAAAAGGTTAAACTACGGGTACTGGAGGACCAAAAGGGTCAAGTGAATATAGTTAAATTGCAAGAAAATCAAGTTGACACCGTAGATGATGTTCTGAAGCTTATACAACATGGGAATGCTGTTAGGTATATATACCTTTCCTTTCAGAAATGTTTGTATTCTATATACAAATTGATATTTAACCATGTTTATTGATCAATAAAGTTTTCAATCATTTCAATTAAAAATGTTAATTTTTTTTTTTTAAAGAGAAATTTATTGAAAAGTAGATGAATTCAAAGTATTGTAAATATTTTGTTTTGACTTGACATTCTTTATATTCTCAAGTGATTTCTTCACTTAATTTAAATCTTATCAATCTAGTATGTGAAAATGAAAGGTGTAGGAATGATAACACTGCTAGTAACTGACAAGAATAGTAATCCCCCCTAACAAAGGGGGGCATTGCATCAATTTATATTGTAACTCAATGTTCATGCCACTTAATCTCGCTAAGTTCTCAGTAGTCACACCAAAAGAGTCAGCTCTGGAATGGGCCTGGATAGATCTACCTCTACAAAATCTCCAGTACCTTGTAGGCTCCAAGCTCCACAATATAGCTGCTGTTATTCAGGCAAAGTTAGCAGTTGCATATTAATAATGACTAATTTTTTGGCACTTCAGTTTTTTTTTTTTCTATACACACAATGTCATGAATGTTTTTTAATAGATCATGTAATTTTAGTACTTTCAGAAATTTTGTTTCCTAATTATTATTAAAGAAATCATTTTTTCATCTCTGAAAAATATTTTCTTTTCCATCATCAGAACTTCTGGTCAAACTGCAGCAAATCAGCATTCGTCCAGGTCCCATGCTGTGTTCCAAATCATACTCCGTCGAAGGTGAGATTTATTTTATAGTAATCTTTTATTTGTAAAATTTTTTTTTATCCTTTTATTTTTTTGTTTAAAAAATATTGAATATTATTAAATTTTAAGATTATTTTATTTGCTATATTGATAATTCTTTGGGTTTATAATTATGCATCTTAATTTGATGTATTTCCAATATATTTTTGTTAATTTTATTATAGTCCTTTAAGTGTGCTTACACTGCATTTACTGCTTATAGAATAATGTCAAATTGAAGCATATCAAGCTAAGTTTTCAATAATGATTTTAACAGATTTTCTAGAATTGTATGTTCTGTTATTTTGCATCTATTAAAAAATATCAAACATGTAAATAATACTGATCTTGTTGATCAGTGCATTTTCAGCTTGTTTGTATGTTAGTTATCAAGAATCAGTAATTTTGATTGAGAAACAATGACATTCATAACTTGAAAATGAAATCAATGCACATGGAATGGAAATACATGATTTTTTTTTTTTTTTTTTTTTTTTTAAATATGTATTTTATATATAATTCAGTTTTTCAAGCTCAGTTATTACTTTTGTAAACTGTAAATGTTTAAAATTTGAAAACTATTGCCAGTGTCAACCTCTTCTGATATCTTACAGATCAAGAGAGCTATTTGGTAAATTTTCCTTGATAGATTTAGCTGGTAAGTGTATTTCAATTTTACAATGCTCAATTTATTTCTTGAGTTATGAAAATCTTGCTATAACAGTCATAATGTAAACCTACACTTAAAAAAAATGATAAATAAAAAAGAAAATCTGTGATATTTAAAAATAATAATGATCTGTTATATCATTAAATTGCATAAATGTTTGGTTTGCTAATATTTCTTATTAAAATGTTTTTTAGTATATCTTCTGTAACTGAATTTTAAACTATTGAGCTCTTATTTTAAAATTTTCTACAGGAAATGAAAGAGGAGCTGACACTTCAAGTTCTGATAGACAGACTAGGATGGAAGGTGCTGAGATTAACAAAAGTTTATTAGCCCTAAAAGTGAGTTGACATTTTAAAACTATTTCACTGCTTGTATGAAAATAGAATATTGTTTATGCTTGAGGGGAATTATAATGTGCTTTCAATTTAAAATGTTAATTTACACATATTCTGTAAACATTTTGATAATCTATATGAAGACTAGTGATATTAAGATGTTGATGACAATTTTTGAATAAGTAGTTCAAAAATTTTTAATAAAATAATTTATTAGCAAAAATTACAATTTAATGCAAAATGTTTTCTCTCCCCTCACAGCATAGATGTGAAGAGAGAGAGAGAGAGAAAAGTAACTGATACCGTTTTTCTCATACCACAGTATTTTCATTAATGATATAAAATTACTAATGGACTAATTTAAATACTTAAATTATTTTTTTAAATAACTTCTAATATGTTAGTAAGTATAAACTTTTATTAGACCTTTTGTTTTTATGCATAAGAGAATCAATTTTATTTGCCTAGTAAGTATAGTAAGGGCATAAATAATGATTGAATGTTGTATTACACTATATTAGTTGATCTCAAGACTTTTTTTTTTTTTTCCTATTTTGCTTTATTTTCAGGAATGTATCCGTGCTCTTGGCCGTAAAGGTGCACATCTTCCATTTAGAGCCAGCAAGTTAACACAGGTCTTAAGAGATTCTTTCACTGGAGACAAATCCAAAACCTGTATGGTTAGTAGATCAATAAGATTCTAACTTGTGTTGCTGAAATCTATAAAGTAAAGATGGACTCTTCAAACTATTTTGAAAACCTAATGTTGCAGACATTTGGCAAGCTTTTTTTGAGTGATTCTTTTGTTGCCAACATATTTCCTAGTTGTAAATTCCAAATGCTTAATGATGCAACTATTTAGATATGATGCAAATTAATCATGGAGAAGCGGAGGGTGGGGGATAAAAGAACATGTTTATAGCTATACAAACTGATTAATAACATATATGCAAATATTGTGTTGAAGAAAAAAAACATAGATCTTTTGCAGCAACAATCAGAATTTTAAAGAATTTAACATTGAAAGAATTTTATTTATTTTTTAAAATTAAACTCTAATTTTGTTTCAGATTGCAATGATATCTCCTGGCATGAATTGCTGTGAACACACTCTCAATACTTTGCGCTATGCTGACAGGTAAGGTGTTTTTTTTTTTTATTAGATGCAATTATGTTTGTAATTGTTTTTAGTAGCAAAATTTATAATCTGATTCTTAGTAGTAGTTTTCTATTATGAGATGTATGGGTTTGTAGGAATATTTTAGTTACAGTCTTGTTTCACATTCTACTGTGCATTTGTCAAGTCCAATCTTCTGAATATCTTATGTTTTTACTAAATATTTTGTAACAGCCTATTTCACCACCTGACAATTTGTCCCAAAATTCTTTCTTCATTCAGTCCGTTTATGTGCAGATATCATTTAATGTGTGCCTCTTCACCTCACTATCCTAGGTAATATTGCTCCTGACTGTTTTTTGGTTTTCACTATTTTTCATGGCCTTCGTTGATTTTTTTTTTTTTTTTTTTAATTATAAAAGCATATATTCATAAACCTATTTCTCTTCATCCAAACAGAAATGCACCAATATTTACATCAAGCCATGTAGTTGTTGTTTCTAGTAAACAGTTTATGCTCTTGGATACTATACAAAAGAGCAATTTAATTTTTGCGTTTCTCCTCTTAGCATTTAAAAACTTTTTTTTTTTTTTTTTTTAGAGTGAAAGAACTTGGTCCTGGGGGTCCATCTGATGGAAGCAAGATACTAGATGCAGTTGAGCCTCCGTCACACATTGGAACTATGTCACCACAAAACAGTGACTTAGCTCTTCTAAAAACCTCAAATGTATGTCTACATTTGCTTTCTCTTTCTTAGTATAATACTTCAGCAATCTTATAGATTTGTAATTATTTTATCTTAAAAGATTAGTTTAATAAATTCATAATTTTGATTCACCATTTTGAAGGCCTCTTTTACATATTTGAGAACTTAACTTATTTTTGATGGAGAACATAATTTAAGAAGTTTGATAAAAGTTTACTCATTATTTCTGTTTGATAAACTATAAATGTTAAATTTAACTTTTATAACTCAGTGAGGTATCTGGTCATCTGGATTACGAATTCATTTTTCTTAAGTATTTATGATAAGTTATATCTGTGCAATTTTCATTTTATTCACATCTTTTTTAAGATATATCTGTATTTTCTGATAGCCCTTTTAAACATCACTATCATTTTTTTCATTTATTCCAATGACACTAATTTCATTTCTATTTTCAGGAGGAAGTGACTGATGAGATGCTTACATTCCATGAAGTAATCAATCACATGCAAGAAATGGAGGAAGAATTACTAGATGAACAGAAGAATATTTATGATGTAAACTGTCTCCAATTTAAATATATTATCAAATTCTTTTAAAATCTGTTCTGCTTTAATAATGTTTCACTAAGGATTAACTCTGATCTTTTGAGCAGATTTTATTCAAGTGAGTTTATCAGTGATTACTGATGTAAACTATTTAAAGTTTTAGTATTTAAATGTTAATTTATGTATTAAATAATGATTTTCCAAAAAAATTATTTTTAAAAAAGTATGATTCATTTTAAAATTCATGTATGTTGGAAATTTTGATTGAAAATATGCTCTAGAAATCTAAGATAAAATTAATTAAAATTTAAGCTGAGCTTTGGTCTAAAGAAAATGTTTTGACATCTAAAATACAAGGATTTATACATATTTTAAGTAATGCACTTTATATGGTGTCCATTGGATTTTAGTTAAAATCAGGATTCCAGACACTTTTTAACCATTGTCCCAGAAATGTCCTGAAAGAATTTTTTTTGTTTTTAATTATTTACAGCTATTAGTAGCATAATAAAAACACCATTAAAATATTTAGGAAATAGATTTAAAAAGCTAAAATATTAAAATTTTAAAAATGAATAAACACAAAAGCAAATTAGTTGAACTTATTGAAATTTAAAAAAAAAAAAATCACAACTTTATTTTTATTTAAACATATTGGTTAATTTACCTTGAATAATTTTACATAGAAATATGCTTTTGTTAATTCTCATGTTCAGAGTAACTTTTATCAGACTTTAAGAATTGTCCTATATGTATTCATTTTTTACTTAAAGAATATCAGCACATTTTAACTATTCACAATTGGAAAAGTTAGTCATTATTAAAATATTCCCATTTACAATTACCAACCTCACATTGTTAGTAAATTTCTGCATTTTATAAAATTCTCCCTTATATTTTCAATTTAGTTTGATTTTTCATTCACCATTTTAAAAAGAAGCACTTAATTTTTACTTATTTTTTTGTTTGTGTATGTGTGCATACTCCATTTATTAAAGCTACAATTGGTGAGAATTTTTTTTATTATAACTGCTTTTAACCAATCATTCCATTAATATTCTACTGTTGATGTGACAAAGTTCATATCAAACTCTGTTTCAGATGTGTATGTTTCATTAATGAAAAATAAAAAGCTTACTACCACTCATTCTCTCTTTGTATTCAGCCTATGGAAATGGTAAAAACAGTATTTACCATTTAACAATCATGTTGTACAATAAGCATTGTAAGGGATGATTTAATTATTGAATTTATTATCCCTCTGGATTTACACTCAGCACAATTTACTGTTTTTTACACGCTTTTTGAACATTTGAAAAGTTAGCCCAACTCTCTTCTCAAAATCAGTCTTCTGGTGAAGAGTAATAATTGATGTTGGGAAGTGGGTTAGACTGAGAAATTCCAGTCCCCTCCCAAACAGAAGAAAATGGAATATTTTATATATTTTACACCTACTGAGTTTATTGTAAAAAAATTTTTAGGGAAAATGTTATTTCAATTAATATCTTCCTTGATAATGTGAAGCAAATGATTGCATTAGCTATGTTTCTATTTGCAGCATACCCAGAAGTTTTTGATAGATAACAGAAAATTAATGAAAATGACAGAAGAGGTGGATTATGATGTAGAAGGTAAGATTATTTATAAATCTTACCTTGTTTATTAAATGGTTTGTGAAATGTTGAAAGAATCATTTGTACAAGTTTCCTCCAATTTTTTATATAAATATTTTGTGAAGCCATTATTTTAAGCTCTATTTACAAAAGCATTGTGTATTTTAATTATAAAGTTGTATAAATGTGTTGCTCTGTATTAATATTAACTCCAAATTAACATGGTATTTCATGGTATTTTTTTTTTTTTTTTTTTTTCAGTATGTGTTTCATACATCTTGTACTTTCTTTTATTTATAGAATATACAAAATCCCTGGATATCCTTCTTACAAAGCACATTAATAATCTTAAATGTTTTCATGGTAAGTTAGGAATTATTATTTAATTCTGATTCTGTTCTTTTAATTTATGCTCCTGTTAGTGATTTTGTATGTATTTTTATAACATTCTTAAGTGTTTAGTATTGAAAAAGCCATATCACACCCACAAAATTTGTTTACTTACCATCAATGACAATATGGTAGGTTCATCTTTGAAATACTGGTATTTGTTTACATTTGAGTTAATGTATTCACTTTGTGTCTTGTAGGGCATCAGAAAAACTGGAAATATTAACAGAAACAATGATTGCACATAGATATTTTCAATGTTGACAATAAAATATATCAAAAAGCATGTAGATTTTTGCTTTATATACAACAGTTTGAAAATAGTGACATGATTAATTAATAAATTATAATTTTGACTAATTTTGAGCTTTGTAGTATTGTAATCATTTAATACCTTACCCGGTCATCCAAGACTTCCAACACTGCAACTGGTTGCTGAACTGACCACTTCAATTCAGAGCTAACCTTATCCCATGTGATTTAAGTTTGATCATAAAGCAGCCAAGATCAAATCATCACAGGTATCTTCATGTTGGGCTGCTCCAGTCAGGGAGATGACATACAGGAAAAATTAACACTCGAATAAATTGAACAAAAATAAATAGTTTTTATATCAGTACTCTGTACAATAATTAGTTTGGTTCAGAGTTCGCATGCAATCAATTATCAGCCTAACCTGTGTCTAAATTGGAAGTGATATTATCATTGTTGACTTGGCAAAGTTTGGTTTCCTGTTTTGGTAAAGTTTGGCACAAGGCTAAAGTCGGAGGCTTTCGTCAGCAGATAATCACATGGGCCTCTCTCCTGTCTCTGTCCCTTCTGCCTCTCTTCTGCCTAATTTGCTTTGTGCATTCGTATTTATCGACCTTCACCCAAACTGGTGAAGGAAGGGAATTCGATAATTCTGGAGAATTCCCTTTTCCCACTCTCTCATATTATTACCTCTCACTAAATCTCGTCAGTGAGCGTGGATGGCTTATACACCCCCTCCTGGTATTCCAACTCAACTTACGACCAGGGGAATCCACTCCAAATTCATTGTTTATGAAAAATGAAATTTTTGCTTTATGGCTTATATTTTCAATTGCGTAGAACAGATATCAATCATCATTGCCCCTAAGTCTGGGTCACTTTTCCATTGTTCAAACTGCTTGACATACAATTCAAGTCATTTATGTGTGAATTAAATCCTCAAATCTTCCCACAGGTTTTCAGTATTAACCCTTCTCGTTTCAATGTCTCTCAGTACATAACATTTTCTTATGTTTTAACAAAACTTCGCTTTACCATGTCAACAACAAATAGCATCACAGTACTACATAAGTGCTGCATGCCTGAAAATGTTGTTAAAGTCACTTTTTAGAACTTTCTAAAATGACTAGCTGCACTGCTTTGTTCTATTATTACTGTGGTAAAGCCAATGTTTCTTTTAATTTTTTATTTTACTTTAAATTATAAACCTCAACTTTTTAAAATCTATTATGTTTAGGAATGTGTGCATGCACACAAATTTCCAGGCTTGGTAACTAGTTTTAACAGTACTCCAACTTTTTCCTCCATTATTCTCAAATAAAACTGATATGAAGGTATGCTAAAAATCCTAAGTAAATTTTCAGTAGCAGAGTAAATTGATATTAGAAGTCAAATTGAAATCTTCTTTCCCTCTCCAAAGAGGTAATTCCTGAGAATGCAGGCCACAAGTATAGATGGGAGTTAATGGTCAGCTAACGTGCCGGGATGTCCGCACCAATATAATGAGTTTCTAATAAATTTATAAATGATAAAAAAGTAATTCTGTAACAGTCATAATATTCGTATTTTTAGAAAAATGATTTCATATCTATGATGTTTGTAAATATGCTTTATCAGGATTTAAACAATAACCGATTTGTTAAAGTATTTGTGTATTTCAATAAAATAACTTCTTGTTTTATTATTTTGTAGAGAAGCTGACCAATTTCCGTGAGGAGATGCAAGAAGAAGAGAACTTGAGCAAGACAATAAAAAACTGGAGAGCCCCAACGAAATAATAAAATGAATTTGAGCTATCAATAATAACAATTAAGAGAAGCTATGCTATCATAGTCAATGTTTGCCAGCTGGCTCTGTGAGCCTTTTACAAGTGAGAGGACCAACAGCTTCACAGCTGATATGTGCTACACTGGCCCATTTTTATATATATATATATATATATATATATATATGTGTGTGTATGTTTCCAGTGTATCATCTTCCTCCTCTTCTTAAAACTGCTAATCAATCTTTTATTCTACATTCTACTGTTGCTACAAATTCAACCACCTCCTTTTTGAAGCCTTTCAATATTGCTCCTTTGGTACAAAATTTAAAAAAAGAAAAACATACACAAAGTTGGGTAAATTTACCTGTTGTGATTTCAAATGTTTTCGTTTGATACACTGGTATGTGTATTAAAAAGAAACAAACCACATCTAGATATAAATTTTAGGTTGTGGCAAGGCCTGCTTTTGACTTTGTCACCTCTCTCTCTCTCTCTCTTATCTCATTTCTTTCTCTTCCCTCTCTCTCCTTTCGTTATTCTCCCTGCTCACACAACTAACTGCTACTTTTTCTCCTTTCTGTGGTCCCAACACCTCTTATTTTTACTTGCTCTTTTTCTAGTGCTGACAGACTTTCTGTTCTGGTTTGTTAAATAAAATTTTTTTGTATCCAAACAATTTCTATAACTAGTGTGGTTCATTTGCTGTACATAAGTTTTGTTTTTCTGAAGACAATTTTGGTGGGGGAGGGAGTTGTGAAAATACTTCAAAGAACAAAAGAAATTTTAAAAGTAAAAATTTCACTGACTTAATTTGAAGTAATGTTAAAGTACAATTAAACTTGATTTCTGAATTTAGAAGGTGTAGTTGCTTTCATAGCTTGATATTTATATTGGCTGCACTCAGTCTGGTTACATTGAAGATTACTGGAATTTGTTGAGATTAAATTCAATCATTTCTTTTATTCATTCTCAACTTACAAACATCTTGGCTTTCAACTATGGTATATTTATTAAACACTCATTGCTTGAATGACTTAATTTCAGGTTCCATAAGCAGAAAATTTAAAAACAAAAACTTAGCTTGATTTTTGGTGACTGCTAATCTAAACCTATTTTATTAAGTAGGCTAACATTTAAAAACATTTTTTATCTTTAAAGAACCAAAATACAAATGAAAATAAAAATCACTCACTTGGAAAGCCCATTCATTAATGATAAAAGTATTTTATCATGCTTATTTGATTTAAAACTTGACACTAAATTTGATTCAACTACACAAAGATTATTGGGTAAGATTATCTTTTCAAAGGTGGAAATTTTCTGCAATAAAATGTTAGTTTAATGTTTATGAATAAAATGAATCTTGGTTTTTGTATCCCCAGTCATCATATACAAGATGCACTTCAGAAATTTTGAAAATTTTTCAAGAAACATTTATTTCAAAACAATGCAAAAATCTAATCCCCTTCAAATTAGAACTCTGACTTTAGTGCTCCATCCATTTTTTGAAGAATCTCAAGTATCCTGCACAAAATGAAGGTGTCCAGAGTCCTTGTCACAGCCTTTTTCATCTCCCCCACCTCCTCAAAACATTAATTCATAAGCAGTCTTTTGCATTTCATGTTTTGTGTAGAAACCACTAATGAAATTATAAAGATTGCTGATGGATTAACTTTTTCAAGACGTGGAGGAGATGAAAGAGATTGTGACAGAAACCCTGGACACCTTCTCTTTGGAGACCTGTAAAGAGACCTTCAGGAAGTGGTTGCATTGGGACAAGAGCATTAATGTCATAGGCTCCTATTTTGAAGGAGATTAGTTTTGTATTGTTTTGAAATAAATGTCTCTTGAAAAATTCTCAAAACTAAAGTGTACCTTATAAATTGGCTTATATTTTTCAAAATTTAGTGGTTGAAAATTTTGAAAATGATGAGCGGGAATTACAATACTTGAACAAAAATTATAATGATCACATTTTTTTGGTTTAGCCTTCCAAATAAAGATAAAAAAAAAAACGTCTTTAACCTGTTCAATTATAAAAACCTAAATACTAATAGAACTACTACTTTAATTTATTTTTTAGTTTCAGATTTAATTGATTAATTTGATATGTTGATGAATGTTCACTTCAAGAATGTCTGGGGGTGGGAAAAGAAAATAAATTTGGGTGAAGGAGAAAGAAACCTATTTTACTTTTATCTACTTCCACATGAGTTTTTATGAATGGTGCTGACTTGTTCACAAATCAAATACCTGTAACATGCATTGGGCTTGTGTAGTTTCTTGTTTTGCAGGCAAACACGAAATAAAGACAGGCTCAAAATATCACTTACTGTGTGAATAAATGTGTACTGTGTACACAGTAATGTTTATTTAGACAGACAATTGAGTTTGTTATAAACTTATAAAATGTCTGATGTACATATCTTTATTTAATTACAATAACATACATTAAGAAAAATCTGTGTATTATGAAGAATGACTTTCATACAAGCAACATTTTAAAAAATCTTAATTGAAATTGATTTTGTGACATTAAGCAAAATTTGTTTTTCCTTGTGCCAAACAATTTTCTTTCACTTGCTTCAATTTATGCACGACAAGAGAGAGAGAGGATAAAATTTGTGTCCCCATTTCTTTCTTTATTTTTTCCTCTATATTTTGGAAAATATTTTCAGTTTTGTTTTATGCCTGACATTATTTGGGACCATGAGTGAGTGCCTTCAAACATTAAACTCAATCTTTCTGTTACAATAATAATTGCCAATTTGATGTGAGTGTATGTATGTATGTGTGTGTACATGCATGAGAGTGTGTGCATTTGTAGTATATATCTTAACAGGTAGTCAAATCAACTACAATCCTATCTCATTGCTTGAAAATTTTTCTGCTATGATTTAGTGACTTAAAATTTTGTTTGTGTAACTAAATAAAGCGAAAAAAAAATATGAACTAAGCTTTTGCTATGTAAAAGAAAAAATTCTATATCACACTTTGTTTGATTTTGTTTCTCAAACATGTCAGGAAACAACAAACTTAGGATGTTCATTTCTAAAATATTTCCTGTTTAACTTCTTGTTGTAAAAAATTGAAAATTCTACTCAATTTATTTTTATTCTCTATTTAAAGTTATATATGCCTATTTCTATTTTTCAGTTGTTTTTATTTTAATCCACTTTAAATTGTGAGCAACTGCTAAATATATTATCCAATAAGTAAGATTTCAAATAAAACCTCAAATCCATATATAAAAAAAACAGATGAATGAATCAAGTCCTGATTTGAAACTTTACTGATTGCTAAGTTGGTACAGTTGTTTGTACATTTGAACATTAAGATAAAATCAAGTTATAGTCAAATAATTATATGCATATATAATTTTATATATTATTTACCACTGTTGCTTGATTAAAAGTAAGAAATAATAAAAAAAATGTATTTGTGTTTCTTACTCTTAATAGTTAGTTTATTTAAGCTTAAACCATAAAATGAGTTGTGATTAAGGTTTTCGAATATTCTATTCTGTTGACAGTCAAAAGACTTTGCTAACCTATATAAAACTTAAAATTTGTTTATTTTTGAAAATAACTTGTTGCATTTTACCTATGGCTTAGTGAACTTCAAGACTCAGCCCACTAAAATCTTCAACTGAAATTTGGTACAATAAAGTTGGTGTTTCTTTTGAGAAGCAAACAGTTCAGTTAAAAAAAAAAATGTTCCTCATTTTTCCTTTCTTCTATGAGGTCAAATCTTCAATTTAATGTTAAATTGTTGTCTCAACAGTTCATGTGGTTATCTGAAAGAAACTTTCATAAAAAGTAAATTTTATTTTCGAGAAAATTTAATGGGTGTACTCTCTTGAAGAGTTCAAAAACATTTGCCATACACAAATGAGATGTTAACACATTAAATGAATAGATTGGATTTTTCTTTACAATTGGATTTTTTTTAATAAATTTATGCAAATATAGACTGAAAACTACTAATAAATTTGCAGTAATGAACATGTTACTCGAGTCTATTGGCCAGTGATTTCTATTGGTATAGGACCTATGTTTATTTATATCTCACACACACACACACACACACACACAATAAGTAAATTTTGAATTAAAGTTTCTTGTCAGTCATTTTGGGTAACTAAAACTTCTGATCAAATTAAAAGCATTCACCCAGTCTTGTACTTTTAAAAATATTTTAGACTCTAAACCAGGAAATAAAATTTTGCAGCTTTATCACATACTTACATAACTAACTCTTATTTTATTTTATTTATTTTTATTTTTTTAAATTTTTTTTTTTTTTTTTTTTTGATAACTACACTTGCATTACAAAAGAAAATATAACTTTTTTTTTAAATATTCGTTCTTGTTTTGAACACAAGTTAAAGATTGAGTAAATTATTGAAATCTATACATTTCCAGCATTTTATACAAAGGAAGCTGCAATTGAAAGTTTTGAAGCTTCACAACTTTTTATTAAATTATACTTTATCTTTGGCAAACAAATCTCAATTTAAAATGTTGCTATTTGGCAATTGTTGGAGAAAAATAGACAATATGTTGTTTATTTATATCTAGTGTAATCTAAATTGCTACGTCATATGTTTTAAAGATTGATATATCGATGCTTATTTGCAATCCGTAGATTACTGACCTCATTGCATAAAATGAGACTATAAGGCAGGAAATATTCAAACTCTTAAGGTTCTAAATTTTTAAATAAAAAGCATTATCTCTCTCTTTTATATATATATATATATATATATATATATATATATATATATATATATATATATAAAAACTTTCAAGCTTTAAACAAATGTTCTTTGTTTGGTGTGGCTCTAATGAGATTATACTAAAAAAAATGATATAATTTAAACAAGTTTTTTTTAAATTCAACCAACAAGATCTGTTTAATTTTTCTTTATGATTGTGTTTGGCCAATTATTAAATACTAGCTTAAATGCCACACTCTATGCAGACTTTTCAGCTAGCTCCTGTGGAGAGC